GTTCCTTATGGAATATTAGCTGGAACAAAAATGCTTGACAGTGTGGTGCCAAAGATGGCTACAGAGACTATGATTTTCATGAACTCATCTCTAAACCCGGTCCTGTACTGTTGGAAGATCGGAGAGGTGAGAAAAAAAGTAAGGGGAATTATTGGACAGTTGTGGTGTTGTTAAAATATCATTATATTGTTGTAAATTACAGGCTGCCCCAAGAGAAGAAAACCTTTTTACAAGGCTATTGAATTGTCTAGTGGAGAAAATATTATTTGAACAAACTCTGTCAACCTAACAGTACGTGTTGCTATCATTAATTTAAGACAGTTAAGATGACGGTTACACCATTTTTTCCAATAACCCTGTCGAAAAAAAAGTAGATAATCACTAGTCCTCGAACTCTGTCATATCTTAAATAGCTAAATATTTTCTCTTTCATGTATAAACAGCTGAAAGCACGGAGCAATCAGTTTTCCGCAAAGACAATTTCTATTTTAAGGACCAGCTATTATCGCCCGAGAGGGGGGACTTGGGAACGGGGTAACGGGGGACGTTGGGGGGGATCACATGGTCTTAAGGGGGGAATGGAAGGGGGATCAGTCGTCGCCAACAGAGTATAAATGGAGGACTATGGAAAATTGACTGCTAATTAACTGTCAGTTAACTGCCTCTCAGGGGGATCATAAGTATATTACAGCTAAAATCCACCGAGCTCCCCCACCCCTCCCCCGATAAATAACGACCCTAAGTGTAGAAATTCAGTTATCTCGACGAACTGAAATTTCAGGCAGCAACCAAAATCTCTTGTATATCTAAAAGAAAAATTCTATCGGTAAAAAAAATTGTCTGTTCGAAATTGTAGACTGGCTGGAGCTCAAGTAATGGCTCCTGAAATTGGTAAACAGCCATGAAATCTTACCCATCGTCTCTTTTTCCACTCGTAGCCTTGTCATAGTTCCGTATCGCTCTACTGATCTCGTCTCACAGCTTTTTACGGATCAAAGATCATTAAGGGCTGCAGTGAGAAAGGCAAGGAAAAACTGGAATAGCATCGTAAAAGAAGTTATTTTGTTTACTTTTTCTTTCATCAATGCTGTCGGTGTTTTTTTCGGTTTGAACTCGAGAGGGAAACATTTCTCTGACTTTACTTGATGACCCTTTCTGATTTGCACCATTTGGACTTGAATGAAAAAAAGATTGGCAGCTTAAGACTGCATTTGGCTACTGATATAGCACAGTTTTTATAGCATTGAAAGGAACTAGAAGTTGCATAGTGATGCTTGAGGGTACTGTTGTAGAGGATTTGTCTAAAAACAGAAAACCTACCGCACTCCACATATTTATAAGTATCGTAATGATTCGATTTAGCGCCCTCGTTCCAATAATCGTCCCCTTTTTACTAAGCACCCCTTCCTTCGAATTTTTTTTTTATAAGGGCCCCTATTCTGGTAAGTGCCCCTACAGTAAGTACCCTCATTCCAATAAGCGCCCCTCCTGAGTAAGCGCCCCTATTCCAATAAACGCCCCTATTTTGCTTCAGTTAGAGTACATGTACATTGAGATAAACTATGGTCCATCTTCATTTGATTGCTCACTTTAAGCCTCACGGAGAAAGTCTCTAAACTTTTATGTCGCCGTGAGTGCACATTTCCTTGAATCGAAAGATCCTGTCTTAAAATTTTGCGACAATTGCTTAGCTAGTCGTTCTAGCAAGGAAGCAATTAGCAATATTCCTAATATTGATCCTCAGTCAAATATACATCGATGCTTTGTTTCACATTCTTCTTTTTCTTTAAAAGAAATAAGCATCCTGTCCCTACTAGGCGCCCGGTTTCAAATAAACACCCTCCCTTGAGGTACCAAAAGTAAATAGGCGCCCCGGGCGCGTTAAATCGAATTATTACGATTCTCAAGAGGAAGATGCCAGAATGTTGAATAATTGACACTCAACCAATAATTTATTGGTAACAAATAATAATATGAACAATGATAAATAAAAAAAATAATAGTAATGGTAACTAGTAGGGGACTAGTTCAAGAACCTCAGTGTTCCACTATCGGTCTATCCTCAATAATGATTAAACTATGCTTCTGTTCTATGTGCTATGTGCTGTGCTTCCACTTTTGGAAGACTTTTGTTTCATACAACATGGCAATCCGCCATTCCGCCATTCCGCCATTCCACCATTCCATCATTCCTCCATTCCATCATTCCTCCATTCCATCATTCCTCCATTCCATCATTCCTCCATTCCATCATTCCTCCATTCCATCATTCCTCCATTCCATCATTCCTCCATTCCATCATTCCTCCATTCCATCATTCCTCTATTCCACCATTCTACCATTCTACCATTCCACTATTCTACTATTCCACCATTCTATCATTGTACAATTCTACCATTCTACCATTCTACCATTCCACTATTCCATCATTCCATCATTCTTCCATACTGTCATTCCGCCATTCCACCATTCTACTATTCCACCATTCCTCGATTTCTCTATTCCACCAT